TTGCACCATGATGAGGGGTTTGTCTCTCACCAAGTGGACCATAAGCTGAGAAGCGAGGCTCACCAGGTGACTTAGTTGGCTGATGTAGATGTTCTCCTTCCGGCTGGCACTTCATCCTTCAAGGTTGACGATCTCTGCTCATGCCAGGCTGTTGAAAAGAGAGACGGGACCGCTTGGACAAGGAGCGGTTAGTTTCAAAGGTATCAGCCAACCTGGCTGCCTCCAATGCAGTGGTTAAGTCACGATCCTGCAGAAAGACTCGAACCTCTGGTTCCACAGATTCCAGCAGGTTGTCAACCAGAATAAGCTGCACAAGATCATCAAAGGTAGCAACACCACTTGCTTTATACCAGCTGGTAAAAGCTTTGGTCTGCTGTCGCACAAAATCAACCAGGGATTGACCAACCTGTCGTCTACCTAGCTTGAAAAGCTTCTGATACTTAGCTGGGATACAAGTATATGCTCCCAACACTGTGGTCTTCACTACTTTATAATTGGAAAAATCAGAGTCATTTAACACTGACGTAAATTCCTGTGCCTTACCAAACAATGCTGTGTGAACCAACGATGCCCAATGCTGTTCCGGCCACCTCAAGGCTCGAGCCTGATTTTCGTAGCTTTCGAAAAATTGTTCTGGTTCGGCCTCATTGAAGCGGGGAACAAGCTGTACTGCTTTCTGTACACTAAAATCACTTACAAGATGCGAAAACTGCCTTTTCTTTTTCCCTATCATATTCTTCTTTTGCAAATCCTCTCTGTTCCCTAGTCTGCTCAAGATTGATTTTTGCCAGCTCAAGCGCCAACGCCACTGATTCACCTTGAGACAACCCTGCTGCACTAGACTGACGGTTTTGCTCCATTGATGTATCATCTTCCTCTTGTGAGAACATAGTTTTATTCCTAGCTCCCGTAGAGGGAGGAGTCTGATGTGCCATCTCTTCTTCTCGAAGTTTGTCGGTGATCAGTGAACGCAGTTGCGCAGCTGTGAGAGTGCGTTCGTAATCAATGCCAATGGAACGAGCAATTTGCCAACAACGCTGTAGGGACAATTTAGGTAGGTTAAACAAAGTATATGCCGACACCAGACGTCTGACTCGTCTAGGTGGCATACCCCAGTATATAAGTTATTTGCTATGCACAGTACAATTACAGAATACCCCAACGTAACACGTTATTTGCAGAACACGCTTAGCTATGCACAGTACGATAGCAGAATACGCATACAAGGTGGATACGCAATAGCAAAGCTGACTGCAAAATCTTCACACCGAACAAGCTAGTAGCAAGTTGTTAAACGATCACACAATAACAAGGCTGACCATAGCAAAGCAACTGACACGCAAAGTTTGTAAAGCGTTGGCAAAGCTAATGCAATGCCAGACAGCAAGCTACACAATGTTTCTGCTTCCAGCTTCACCCTAGGCTCAACCCTTTCTCTAAGTCCAGCTCCAGCTCCTGGACAGGCCCCCATATTACAACCCAGGAGTCCAAATGGCCTGTTATCCTGGGTGTAAAGGGAGCAAAATAAACACAGCAGAAAACTTTTGATTTATATTATCCTTCACCAATTTAGAACAGAAGTATGTACACTATATACACTATGTACAGCGATAGGTATTAGTGCACTCCATGGTAAGCAAGGCAGAATAGAAGCCACTAGAGAGCAGACCGTGCTTCAACCAGCTCTAGAATGGGAATGACAAGGGCAGACAGGAGAGTGGTACCCACATAACCTCTGCGATTGCCAAAACCATCTTCTTATTGGCTGGAACCTGGTTACTGGTTGAATGACGGGGTCCCATCGTCAACCCTCAGTCACCTGGTTCGCTGGTTGGGGGGGATAGCCTGTAAATGAGGGTGTGTACATGCGCCGAATAAAGGTTACGTACTCTTTGCATGCCACAATTCGCAAGGTTCTTGATCCCCTAACCCTTGCAAATGAGGAGGGCCTCCTGTATATACCCTCCAAGTCATTCTATTTTGCTCCAGCTGTAATGACCAAACCACCTCAATAACCCCTCTTCAGCCCTTTGAATAATACTTTTTTTAACTCCACAACTCCTCCTAATTTCCACACTATGAATTCTCTGCATAATATTTACAATGCACATTGCCTTTAGACACAACATCTCCACTGCCTCCAGGCTCCTCCTCGCTGCAGTATTCACACCCCCATGCTTCACACCCATGTAAGAGTGTTGGTACCACTATGCTCTCGTACATTTCCTTCTTTGCCTCCATGGGTAACATTTTTTTGTCTCCACAGACACCTTCATTAATTCTATGGTTAACCTCATCCTTCATAAATGCATCTGCTGACAAATTTACTCTGAAATATCTGAACTTCTTCCACATTCCCTCCCTCCAATGTGATATCCAATTTTTCTTTACCTAACTCGTTTGATACCCTCATTACCTTACTCTTATCTATGTTCACTTTCAACTTTCTTTCTTTACACACCCTCCTAAACTCATCCATTAACCTTTGCAACATCTCTTCAGCATCTCCCAAAAGCACAGTATCATCAGCAAAAAGTAACTGTGACAACTCCCATTTTGTTTTTGATTCCCCATAATTTAATCCCACCCCTCTCCCCAACACCCTAGCATTTATTTTTACAACTCATCTATAAATATGTTAAATAACCATGGTGACATTACACACCCCTGTCTAAGGCCTACTTTTATTGAAAAGTAATCTCTCTCTCCCTCTCTCTCTCTCTCTCTCTCTCTCTCTGACACACCCTAACCTGAGCCTCTCTATCCTCATAAAACTCTTTACAGCATTTAGTAACTTACTACCTATTCCATACACTCGCAACATCTACCACATTGCTTCCCTATCAACCCTATCATATGTCTTTTCTAAATCCATAAATGCAATGAAAACAACCCTACCTTTATCTAAATACTGTTCACATATATGCTTCAATGTAAACACTTGACCTACACATTCCCTACCCACTCCTTGTTCATCCGCAATCCTGCTCTCTGTCTTACCTCTTTCAATATTAATCCTACCATACACTTCACCTGGTATACTCAGTAAACCACTACTACTTTCTTTCAACTAACCGGCCATGTCCCACCAAGGCAGGATGACCCAAAAAGAAAAACAAAAGTTTCTCTTTTTAACTTTAGTAATGTATACAGGAGAAGGGGTTACTATCCCCCTGCTCCTGGCATTTTAGTTACCTCTTATGGCATGCATGGCTTACGGAAGAAGAATTCTGTTCCACTTCCCCATGGAGAATTCAGTAAACTTATTCCCCTATTATTACAATCTTTCTTGTCCCACTTTCCCTTATATAAAGGAATTATACATGCTCTCTGCCAATCACTAGGTACCTTCCCTTCTTTCAAATATTTATTGAACAAAAGAACCAACCACTCCTACACTATACCTTCCCCTGTTTTTAACATTTCTGTCATGATCCCATCAGTTCCAGCTGCTTTACCTCCTTTCATTCTACGTAATGCCTCATGCACCTTCCCCACACTCACATCCAGCTCATCTTCACTCCTAAAAGATGTTATGCCTCCCTGGCCAACGCATGAAATTACTGCCTCCCTCTCTTCATCAACATTTAAACAGTTCCTCAACATATTCCTGCCATTTTCCCAATACCTCCAACTCCCCATCAACTAACTCCCATATTCTGTTTTTAACTGTCAAATCCATTTGTTCCCTAAGTTTTCTTAACATATTTATCTCACTCCAAAATTTTTTCTTATTCTCAGCAAAATCTGTTGACAGCACCTCATCCACTCTATCATTTGCTCTCCTTCTGCACTCCCTCATCACCCCCTTCACCTCTCTTTTACTCTCTATATACTCTACCCTTCTTATATCATTTCTGCTTTGTAAAAAAATCCCTCATATGTGACCTTTTCTGTTTTATCACACCCTTTACCTCTTCATTCCAGCAATCACTCCTCTTTCCTCCTGCACCCACCCTCCTATAACCACAAACGTCTGCTCCACCTTCCAACACTGCCTTTTAAAACTATTGCACCCCTCTTCAATCCCCATACTACCTATACTCTCATTAGCCCACCTTTCTCCCAATAGCTACTTATATCTCACCCTAATTTCCTCCTCCCACAGTTTATAAAATCTCACCTCTCTCTTACTTGCTGTTGCAGTTTTCCCTTGCTCCATCTACCTCTTACTCTAACTGCAGCTACAACTAAATAATGATCCAATATATCTGCTGCCCCTCTATAAACCTACACATCCTGAAGACTACCCATCAACCTTTTATCCACCAATACATAATCTAACAAACTTTTATTTACATTTCAAAAAAAAGCTTTTGTCAGAGTTCCTTTGGAAAAGCTAATTTAGAAATTGCAAAACAAGATAAAAATAAAAGCAAGTTAATAGTGGATGAGAGATTTGCTGCTTGAAAGAAAAATACAAAGTATAAGGAAAAAAAAAAAAGTTTTTCTGGGAAAGGATCACCAGCAGGTTTCCACAAGGATCACCATTTGCCCCAATAATGTGTTTAACACATCAATGATTGTCCAGAAGGAATAAACATTACAGTTAGAAGAAAAGATGATTATATTTTGATAAGTATCTGTGAAGGTTAATAATCCAGGATAATCCGAGTCATGACAGTGCAAAATAAACAATGTTGACATTCCTGGCACTAAAACACTTCCTTTGTTGGCTTTAAACAGGATAAAGTCATCAAAACTGTTGATGCATAAACTGCACCCAGACCGCTAAATTTGTGTCTGTAATTCCGGAAATTTTCCATAAAATTTCATAATTCTGGTGTCTTTACCTTCAGCAAAAGATTCTCTATCATTTAAAAAAAAAAAAAAAAAGTAAAAAGTAAAGCAATATTAATTTCAGGGGTCTGGAAAGTGAAATGGTGAAAGAACCAACCTGAATATTACATAAATATGTCCTGAGTTACATACAACATTTTTATTCAGATTTGTCCAATGTCCTCTCTTTGACAAACAATAATCAAGACAAGTTTACATACTTGCACAAGATCAATTCCATCTCCATCTTCCAGAATAGCACCACCACACACATACAGCTTTCCTTGACATGCAGCAATAGCTGGTGAAGTAAGGGCCAATTTCATGGAAGCCACTGGACTCCAAGAGTTAGTGCGAGGATCATAACGTTCTACATCAGTCAACCTATTTGATCCATCCCAACCACCTACTGCATACACATAACCATCTAATGTTGCTGAACCTACAAAATATAATATAAACTTATTATTAGTAGTAGTAATTTTTAACAAAATAAGCACAACATTTTCTGACAAATAAACAGCAAAGCAGTAATTACAGTATTCCACAAAGCATCAGCTGAAATAAATTTTAACAGCAATATTGTGAGTACTCTCAGATAAATATTACGGTGATACTGCGAGCACACTCAGATAAATATTAGACTAAAAAAACAAAATCATATCTTTTACCTAATTCTGATCTTGGCTTAGACATAGGTGCCAAGTCGTGCCACTCATCCAAGACCGGGTCATAGCGCCACAAACATCGAGTCACTGTTCCATCAGGGAACTCACCTCCAGCCAAATACAAAACATTTTCTCCAGATACAACCAATCCATGTTTACTAATAAAAGTAAAAAGAAAAATATTAAGGTCATTTATTTTTTCTAAACTCAATGTTTAAAACAATGTGTGCTTATTTATTCTATGAGCACAGCAGCCTTAACGACATATGCACAGCAACCTCATGCAATGTGTGCACAGCAGTCTTATTGACATATGCACAGCAACCTCATGCAATATGTGCACAGCAACCTCATGCAATATATATACACAGCAACCTCATGTAATATATATATACAGCAACCTCATGCAACATATACACAGCAACCTCATGCAATATATACATAGCAGCCTCATGCAATATATGCACAGCAACCTCATGCAATATATTCACAGCAACCTCATACAATATATATACAGTGGAACCTCTGGTCATGAAAGCTTCCGAACACGAACAAAACAGTTCACAACCAAAAAATTCGCCAAATTTTTGCATCTGGTCGCAAACACATAATCAGGTGCCAAACAAACACAGCTGCGCCAATTTTCACATTCCGCACCTATTTTTTGCATGTGCCAATTTTCCCCACTTCATGTTTGTGTACACCTAACAAAGACCCTCGCCTTGTAGTCAGTCTAAGTCAGAATTGTGTTCATTCGCTGTGAATTCAAGGATAAAGTACCATCCTTTTATCCCCTCCTGGATACAGTGATACCCCGAGTTTCGAACTTTCTTCGTTCCAGAAGGCTTTTCAAGTGCCATTACTGAATGAATTTGTTCCCATAAGGAATAATGTAAATTAGATTAGTCCGTTTCAGACACAAAAAATACACTTACAAAAGCACCTACAATAATACACTTACATAACTGGTCGTGCTGGGAGCAGTTCGAAACTCGGAGTACCACTGTACTTGTACGTATTAGAGAAACTGTAGTGTAGTACAGTGCTGTGATATACACTCAAAATGCACCATAAAACTAAGTATAGTGGACCCTCGACCAACGGCTTTAATCCGTTCCAAAGAGCTAGCCTTTAGTCAAATTAACTGTTAGTCAAATTAATTTTCCCCACAAGAAATAATGGAAATAGAATTAATCCGTTCCAGACACCCAAAAATATTAAAAATAATTTTTTTTACATGAAATATACATTTCCCTATGCAGAAACGAATGGTACATGCAAAATACACAATAATTAAATGCCACTTACCTTTATTGTGGAGTTGTTGATGAGTGATGTGCCAGCAGAAGGGGAGATTCAGGTGTTCTATTGTTAGGAAGGGGAATCCCCTTCCATAAAGACTTCAGGTACCGAGTCCTTTGGTGGGGTTACCTCACTTCTTGGTTTTTTAATGCCACTAGAACCAGCTTGAGAATCACTGGACCCCTGTCGGACAAAATATCTGTCCAGAGAGCTCTGTTTCTCGAGTGTCCTTAGGATTTCCCTAAAATGGGACACAAGAGTGTCATTGTACATGTTGTCAATATGGCTTGCAACAGCTGTAACAGGATCAAATTCATCCATAAATGCTTGCACCTTTGTAAACACTGTACACATTTCCTTAATCCTTGATGAAGGCAACTTCATCTGTCTCTCTTCCTCCTGCTCTGAAGCACATTCCTGATCTGTGATCTGTTGCTGTTGCACCTCAAGCTCTTGCAGCTCTGCAGTGGTTAGTTCTTCATCGTCGTTCTGCACCAACTCTTTCACATCCTCACCACAAACCTCCAACCCCATGGACTTCCCCAATGACACAACTGATTCCACAACTGGCATAGGCTCCTGAGGGTTAGCCCCAAACCCTTGAAAAATCCCTCTTGTACACACTGTGGCCACAGTTTTCTCCAAGCAGAATTCAAAGTCCTGCAAGTCACTCCCTCTCAAGCCTTACCTATAAGGTATATGCAACTGAGGATACTGAAATGATCTTTCCAAAACTCTCTTAGGGCCAATTGAGTGTCTGAGGTCACTTCAAAGCACTTTTGCAACACTGCTTTTGTGTAGAGTTTTTTGAAGTTTGAAATGACCTGCTGGTCCATGCGCTGGAGGAGTTGTACTAGGAGGCAAAAACTTAACTTTTATGAAGCTAAACTCCCCCGCAATTTGCTCTTGCAAGTCGTGAGGATGAGCAGGAGCATCGTCCATTACCAGGAGGCACTTGAGTGACAATTTATTTTCCAGGAGGTAATTTTTCACAGTGGGGCCAAACACATCATAAAACCACTCCAGGAAAGTTTCCCTAGTGACCCATGCCTTACTGTTTGATCTCCACATCACACACAAATTACCCTTGACGATACTGATTTTCCTGAACACTCTGAGAGTTTCAGAGTGATACATGAACAAAGGTTTCACATTGCAATCACCACTAGCATTACTGCATAACATAAGTGTGAGCCTGTCTTTCATAGGCTGGGAGTGCTTTTTCCTCCTGAGTAATGTAGCTCCTGTTTGGCATTTTCTTCCAAAACAGGCCTGTTTCGTCACAATTAAACACTTGTTGGGGTTTTAAGTTTTCAGTCTCTATGTACTCCTTAAAATCCTGTACGTATCTTTTCAGCTGCGTTTTTGTCTGGCAGTCGCACCATGCCTTATGACACTGTGTATGCCACTACGATTCTTAAATCTCTCAAACTAGCCTTTGCTGGCCTTAACCCTTTGACTGTTTTCGACGTATAAATACGTCTTACGAGCCAATGTTTCTGACGTATATATACTCAATAATTCTAGCGGCTTCAAATCAAGCGGGAGAAAGCTGGTAGGCCCACATGTGAGAGAATGGGTCTGTGTGGTCAGTGTGCACCACATAAAAAAAATCCTGCAGCACACATTGCGTAATGGGAAAAAAAAAAATTCTGATCGTTTTTTTGGAATAAAACGCCGAGTTTGAGGTGTATTTTCGTATAGTATTTATCGTTGTATTCGTGTTTTCATGGTCTTAGGTGATAAAATGGAAAACATATTACAGAAATAGAGATGATTTTCATTACTTTGACGATGAAAACGACCTTGAAACTGAGCTCAAAGTAGCAGAAATGTTCGATTTTTACCAATGTTCAGGAGTAAATAAATCACACCACACGTCCAATACACATCAACTGGGGAGTCTAATATTCTTTCACTAGTGCACTGATATTATTTATACCATTTTTACAATAATGCAGTAGTCTGCATAACAGTAAATTTTGTATTTTTTTGTATGAATAAAAAATCAAAATAGAAAGCAATAATAATATAAGAGGGGCCTAGAGATGTGACTAATGAACAGAGCATATGTTATTTTAGTGCCACGAATGTCTACCTTGTTTATTCTGGACCCTATTTTGAAATTGGCATCTTTTTTAGTTTGCGTGAAATTGGCCAAATTGCCAATTTCTGACCACCATATTGGGTAGTCCAAATTAGTAAATGGGAGGTTTCTTGTACTCAGCTGATAGATAAAATGGAGTACTAAAGAAATAGCTATGAGGTTGGTCAACTGGAACAATGGAATTGGCTGAAAATAGGGCTCAAAGTCGGCGAAATCGCCAATACACATATGTCGCCGAGACCGCTAACTTCGCGGGAGCATAATTCCACGAGTTTTCAACCAAATTTCGAACTTTTGGTGTCATTACCATCGGGAAAAGATTCTCTTATCATTTCATAAGAAAAAAATTTTTTTTTTTTTTTTTCAAAAATTGAGCGACATAGAATGACAGTTTCAGAGAGGGGCCTGAAACAGTCAAAGGGTTAAATTCATCAATATCATTAGTATTTGGAGGCATTTTCTTAATGAGATCATCATGCAACTGCCTTGCCTTTTCACATATTATTGACTGAGACACACTATCTCCTGATAATTGTTTTTCGTTTATCCACAACAACAACAGTCTCTCCACCTCTTCAATTATTTGCTATCTCTGTTTTGAAAACATATTTGCACCTTTCACAACAACAGCTTCCTTGATTGCCTTTCTGTTCTCCAAGATAGTAGTGATAGCTGAATGGGGTTTGTTATGTAGCCTTTCCAATTCAGACATACGCACTCCACTTTCATATTTTTCAATGATCTCTTTCTTCATTTCCATTGTAATTTTCACCCTTTTTACCACAGGCTTGGCACTAGAAGCTTTCTTGGGGCCCAAGATGGCTTATTTAGCAGTTACAAGCACTAAAAACACTGCAATAATACAAAATACATTGCAGGTACACATGGGATTGACTGAAATGTAAACACTGGCACACTGGCTGTACATGGAGTCTTGCAGTGGCTGGGCCTGCTCAGGCCGCATGGACATATTCCCGACGAAAGCCTTTAGACAAGTTTTTTGCCATTGGTAGAGCCAATTTTTTTATGCCAAAGAGCGCCGTTAGTCGATTCTGGCGTTAGTCGAAGCGACGTTGGTTGAGGGTCTACTGTACGTAAGTTTATTCAGGTATACAAAAATAGAAACATTATCATACATAGCAGCATATGTGTAGAGAACCTACACAAATAACCCGCACATAAAAGAGAGAAGCTTACGACGACATTTCGGTCCGACTTGGACCATTGACAAAGTCACACTAACCAGAAGTGGAGCAGGATGGCTATATATAGGCAGGAAGAGGTGGGGGTAGTAGTAGTAGTAGTAGTAGTAGTAGTAGTAGTACAAGATTGCTCCAAACTTCAGAACACCCGTGACTTAACCTGACTCCTCATTTTTTCTTTTTCTTTTTCTTCTTCTCCCTCTTCCCCTTTCCTTTTCTCCTCTGGGTTGTCTTTCTCTCTTCTGTCTCGTGTTTCTGTTCCTTCTTCATTTATTTCACCACTTCCCCTTTCACGCACCTCTGTGCGCTTGCTTTCCCTCAGTGGGCACCTAGCTCTCTTGCAGTGCTCCCCTTCCTTTGTATTTGACTGGCTCGTCCTCCTTATTTCCCACTTCTACCACCACCACTACCTCTTCTACTACTACTACCACTACAACTACTGATGAAATTAAGACACATGTGCGGCGTCTGGTTGTCTTTGTTGTGGACGTTTCGCCATCCAGTGGCTGGCTGGATGGCAAAACGTCTACGATAGGGATGCCCGGGT